TAGTCAACCAAGCGGTGGAATAGCTTACAGCCTGCCAGGGGCGCAGGGCTGAGCCGCTGAGGGCTCACAAGAGGCCAGACTCAGAGCCTCCAGCCGCTCACTGCTCAGGAGTCAGGCCTCCAGAATTTCTGAATTTGAGAGCTAGTGCGACGTATTACGGTATTTTCCTATTTGGAGTCTAATTGGAGGATTTTAATGGATTATATTTACTATTTTTTTTAAAAGAAAGCATTACTGTACTGTATACTGTATTTTAACTTCTATTTTTATATGTATATAGGCCTATACTTTATAAATACTAAATAGGCTATAGAGCAGTGTGAGTGGTGTGCGGGCGGCGGCAGGGCTTGAAGGGCCTTGCCAGCTCAGGCCTCCAGAATTTGAGACTAAATAGTATCTGTATGACGTAAACATTTGTTTTTGTTTTTTTTATATAAACAAAAAAAATTGCCCTCTGAAAAAAAATGAAATCTGTCGCTGGATAGAAAAATAAGAATAGATGGGAAGATTGAAAATTCGATACAAATTATCGTATATATTGTGACAACGCACTTCTTTGTCGACATGTTGGACTGCCCAGAATATATAAACCAGGTAGATTTTCTCTATCAGATCACTCTTGAGATGCCAGATTAACATATTTCAATTGTGCGATTCGATGAATAGTAAATAGATACGTAAGAGTCTCGTTGACACGTGTGTTCGGACAAGAAACGGGCAGATGTGTGCAGCACAATAGTCTACGTGCTCGGACGAAAAATTGAAGTGAGCAGTACACTGTGCAATATTCAACATCCTCACCTCGTGGAATGTGTAGAAATAGATTTGTATTCATACTGAAAATGAGCTCCGAATGATGATCCAGATCAGACATACACTCACACGTATTCATACATAATATCAATAAACCTAACTACCAACACGTTCCACAATCTTACTTTCCTGAATTACAATTGAACCAGCATTGTATAGGCTGCTAGGTAGGATGCGCAATTCTGCTTTGAACATATGTGTGTACATCATACTTTTAACGGGGTCTGCCATATGGAGCGGTGCAACTGCGGCAACAAATGGTATCTCAGATATCCAGTCTGCCTACGCGTACCCTACTAATTGGCCGAATGTCGATACATTGTGACTGAGAACATTTATTACATCCGAGACCGACGATGTGACGTTCGAGCAGATGTTCAATAACCCCGTGGGAGTAGCTAAACTTAAAATTGGTGTTTGTATCCAGTCCGATGATTATCCTGATCCCCTAGCAGCCCCTTGCGGGACAATCAATAATAGAGGCGCTACCTCTCGGGAGGCAGAATTGAAAAGTCTCAAGGTTAAATTGAACAAAACTGCTCCTTTGGGCAAGTGGCGTGGCAGACGCGACATCATTTTCATCAAAGCCCCTTGGGATACGGCACGTATACGTAACGCTTTAGCTTACGAACTCCTCTCCGGAATCGACGGATTCATTGGCATCGGAGTGGCATATGTGCACCTCTTTGTGGATGACAGGGACTTCGGTTTGTATCAGATAGTAGAGGACCTGAACGAGGAGTATCTAGTAAATCATTCCCTTGGCAGAAATGATTTTCTTTTAAAGGCGGATGACTTCGAATGGAGACCACCCAAAATCGGCTACGTGCCCAATGGGGACAATCCGCTGAACTTGGAATGGCTAGATGCGAAGGTTGGGAACAACACTACGGAACGGTTTGACGAAACCGTTTCAATCACAACAGCTCTGCGTGATGCGATAGACAACAAAGACTGCGCTGCCGCTGAAGCCGTGATAGCTCAGTTCATCGACGTGGAGAGTCTCACCACCTTCATCGCTATCAATACGGTTATGCTCGAGTACGATGTTTTGAACCACAACTTCCTAATTTACCGATCAGCTGATGGTGGCAAATGGTCCCACCAGTTTTGGTATGTTTGAAGCACCTGTTACTCGTCATATTCGTCAATTTGTATAGGAGCTCCAAATATGTACAACCTTCCATGACAATCCTTTGTTTAAAATATTTATTTCTTCACTCTCCAACCCTCCCTCGCAGGGACAAAGACCAAGGCTTAGACTTTCAAAGACAGCCAAGTGAGCTCGAAGCCTACACGATGCACCCGGTTGGAGATACATATATATTTAGAGTGATGTTCGAGATGGCGATGACGCACAACAATCTAAACATTAGTTATTTACGGGTCAAGGGACACTTCGAAAAGGTGAA